CTGAACAAGTAACAATCTATACTTTCCAAATAACTAGAGATCTATTCTTCATAAACTGAGTACGTTTCTTTATGAATTTTCACCGTATGGTCCATGAAGTAAATACAAAAATTTTATACATCAATTCAATAAACGACTAGACTTATGATAAGTCCATACTGAAACCATCAAAGTTATCCAATTTCGAGCTGGTTTCATTTTTGGTTATTATAGATGAATCACTAAGCAATTTTTCCATAAATTCATACTTACTTGTATATGATTCTCCTGTGCTGAAGTATCCTATAATGATCACAACTGCAAAGGCATTCATCTTGATATAATGAACTTAATCTGTAAATGAAATAAAACACAGATAATTTATTTTATACATTCTAGTGATTTGGTATTCAGTGAAAGTACCTAAATAATGAAAGAAGTGGAACTCTTTACTTATGAAACTCTTTACGCACATCATTTTTATGCAAATGAACTTTGTAACATTGATGCAATAATGCAAAAGAATGTTCAGAATTCCATGTCTCTTCTTTTTCCCCGTATTCTTCTCCGCACTATTTCAGAAATTATGGTTTTGAAGTAAAAAAAAAAATAATTTGCTTCTACTTTTATTTTACAATAAATGTGATTTTTCAAAAAATTTCACAAAAACGATTAGTTTGGTGAATTCAAAATGCTCTAACGGTTACGGAAATGTTGATGACAGATCATTAGTTTTGTAGAAAGTGACCCTAAGTTGAAGTAAATATAACAAAATGTCAGTATCTGAACCAGGACTCTAATCACATTCAATCGACCAAGAGAGGAATCATCAAGACTCTACTAGACCGTGCTTTCGGGCTCTGTAACACAAAGCTAGGTCTCGAAAAAGAACTGGGAATCATAAAAAATGATCTTCAACAGAATGGTTACTCCAAAGTGATGGTGGAACAGGCTTTAGCTAGAAGACAGCAAGAGCTCCACAAGGAAGCGGAGATGAGATGAAGCGGAGAGAAGGAAGAGGGGATAGGTTAAAGCATTGTCTATAGATTTATAGTCGGTCAACCTTATGGAGTTATCATTCGAGGACGATGGAAACGAAAAGTAGATGGCGCCAATACTGTGGTCTCCAAAAGATTGAGATGGAAAGTGTCGTAGTAGAAAGTTGTAAATGATTATTTTTTTTTCTGACAGGCTTTGTCTTCGTGACGTGTTCATTTGTGTTGCAATTTATAGACACATAAGAGGTTATTAGTAGTGAATTTTTGTGATTCTTAGATCAGAATCACAATTGTTTTCTTTGTAATCAGTTTGTGTTATTTGTGCTTTTAGTAGTTATTAGTTTGTGTTATTTGTACTTTTATAAGACAATAATTGTGAGTGAGTTGTGACAATAACAATAAATAATATTAATAATAAATATGCTTTATTGTCTTAAGGGCAACTTGTTGACCAAGCTTGAGCAATAGGACAAT